TTCTCTTCTCAGCTTGCCTCTCATCTCCACTTGCACATTTTGAACAGACTGTCTGGCAGACATTTACAACTCAACATGACCAAAGTGGAACTCATCTTTCCTCCCGACCCTTCTCCTCTTTCTAGCTTTTCTATTACCTTTGAAGGTATCATCATCGTCCTGAAGTCACCCAGACTCACAACCTTGTCCTCTTCAACTCTTAGTTTCTACTCATCCCACACATACTCACTCTGTTATTAAATCTTATTTCTACCTTTATGGGATCTCTAACAACTGTCGCCTTCTTGCCACTCACACAGCCACCATCCTTGTCCAGGCTCTCATATCTTACACCTAGACTCCGGCCATAGTCTTCTAATTGGCTTCTTGGCCTCAAGTTTCTTCCCACTTTAGTTTATCCTCCACTCAGCTGTCACATTAATCTTCCTAAAGTTCAGATTTGACCATGCCACCCTCCCCCCATTCAAAAGATGCCACTGGCTCTCTATTACTTCCAGGATCTAATTCCTCTGTTGGGCTTTTATAACCTGGCTCCTCCCTATCTTTCCAGTCTTCTTTAGACTTTACATCTCTCCATATACTCTATGATTAAGTGACCCTACTTTTCCTCATGGTTCCTTACACACAACAGTCCATCTTCTCACATCTCCCACACTCCATACCTTTTTACCTGCTGTTTCCCATGCCCAGAACGTTCTTCTGCCTCACTACCTTCCGGCCTTATTTAAGATTCAGCTCAAATTCATCTCCATCCGTTTTCCCTAGGATTGCCTTCCATGTACAATTTAGCTATCTTGTATGCATTTTGCATACTGCTTCCTTCATTAGAAAGTAAGCTTCCTGGGAACCAGAATCTTGCTTTTGCTTTTCTTTGTATCCTCCATGCTTAGCACAATAACTGGCACCATTGAAACATTTATTAAATGCTATTGATTGTCATGTACTTTTTACCTCCCCATTTAGAATGTTCATCGAAGCTCCTTTTGAGTAGGTATTGGCTCCTTCTTTGCATTTGTATCCCTAGCACTACCATAGTCCACCACCAACATTTATTGAGCACCTACTATGTGCCAGGCACTGTGCTAAGCTACCATAGTATCTGGAATACTTTTGCTGGTGTTCAGCCCTTTCAGTCAGGTCTGACTCTTCATGAACCCAATAAACACTTGTTGATTGATTGAATGGAGGCATAAGATGAAATGTCAAATGAGGAATAGCTATTAATCCAATTTCATTGGTTTGCTGGAGTAACCAAAAATAAAGCTAGACACAGTGAGGCTACATTGTGAAGGGTACTAAATGTTCTAGCATGACAAATTAATATCTTATCCTTTAAATTCATCAAAGGAGACAATCCATTTTAAGCAGACCAATAACATAGAATCTTTGAAAATCTATACTTTAGGAAGATTATTTTGGCATCTGTTATGGAAAATGGGCTGCAAAAGGGAATGTTTTGTGGCAGGGAGATTAATTATGAGGCTATTACAATAGTCCAGGTGAAAGGTGAGAAGGGCTTGAACCATTAACTGAAAAACTAAAGCTAGTGTTGAAAAAGTAGAATCAGTGGACTTGGCGACTGATCAGATATGGAAGAAAAGGGAGGAGTCAAAGATAATCCTGAATTTATAAATCTGGGTAACTGGGAGGTTGGCAGTGTCCTCAACTAAAAGAGAACAATGTGGATGTTTCAGGAATGGGTTTGGGGAGTGGTGATTAGTTCAGTTTTGTATACCTTAAGTTTGAGATGCCAGTGGGAAATCCGTAGGGACAGGTACATAAGCAGGCAATCAGAGATGCAGGACAAATATTCAGGAGAGAGAAGCATATTTTATTTGAGATCTGCATAAGGACCATAATTGAAGTGAATGAGATCAACAAAAGGGAGAGGGTGTAGAGAAAGAAGAGGGCTGATGTCAAGTCTTAAGGTATATTTACAATTAAGGAGTGGGGGACATGAGTCATGAGATGATCTAGCAAAGGATAACAAAATGAAGCAGTTGGGCAGTAGAGCTGAGAGACAACAGTGTCATGGAAGCTAATAATGAAAGGACTATTATCAGTGTCAGAAGCTGGTTGAAAAAAGGCTATATATAGGACTGAACAATTAAGAGATTAATGACGAGCTTTGGGAAAGTAGTTTCTATAGAATGGTGGGATTAAAACCAGATTGCAAGAATCATATTGCAAACTTTTAAAAGGTTATGGTAAAGATCAAATAGAGGAGTGCAAATGAAACTTGTTTTGAAAATATACGATGTGCAATATCTAATTTGTCTTATGACATATATGTGTGTGTATATATATATGTTACATATATATATACACACATATATATATATATGTTACATATATATATACACATATATATATATATATACATTCGACAGCATATTTCTATTCCATAATTATTATATGATATAAATGCAAACTATGAATCCCTGTCCCCTCTAAGAAACTTAGGAGTATCTGGAGCTAAATTATGCAGCTTTGTTGACATTTTTAAAACCCATAGTTTTCCCCTTAATAAGCCCTTCTTCTTTTATCTCTTAATGTTTTTCAAAGTCCCTAGAAGTATTCAGTCTCTGTGAGGGAAACAATGCAAATCACTTGTGGAAGAAAAACAAAGAAATCTCAAACCACCTGCATGCATTGGTTTGGTAAAATAGGGTGGTGCTAAAGTTTTCTCAAATTGCTAATGAAAACTAACTTTTCTGAAGGATGGTAAAAAGGGTGTGTTGTCCAAAACAAAAAAAAATTAATTATCTTAAACCCTGTAGATGACAACATACCAATTTATTATTTAGGGGAAGACATAAAACAAAAAGACCTGGGTTCAAATCTGGTATCAGACACTAGCTGTGTGATCCTGAACAAATCACTTAACCCTGTTTTCCTCAGTTTCCTCATCTATAAAATGAGCTGGAGATGGAAATGGCAAACTACTCCATTATCTTTGCCAAGAAAACCTCAGGAAAGGTCACAAAGAGTTGGATACAACTGAAATGACCAAACATAACAAAAAAAAGTATGCTACAATGGAAACGATGAATGGATTTGGAGGTAGATTTGGACTCAAGTATTGCTGTTGTTCAGTTGTTTCAATCACATCTGACTCTTTGTGATCCCATCTGGGGTTTTCTTTGGAAAGATACTGGAGTGGTTTGCCATTTCCTTTCTCCAGCCCATTTTACAGATGAGGAAACTGAGGCAGAATTAAGTGACTTCCCCAGGGTCATGCAGCTGGTAAATGTCTGAGGCTTGATTTGAACTCAGGATGATGAATTTTCCCTACTCTAGGTCCAGGGCTCTATCCACTGCACTACCTATATACACACTCAAGTATCAGCTCTGCCACTTGTTAGCTATGTGATCTTACGCAACGCACACCTTCCCCTATTGTGTCATTTGTAAAACGTTAATAACAATACTATTATTAATGGTGCAGCTATAATTGGCGTAATGGTTAGAATGCTGGGCCTGGAGTCAGGCCTTAGATACTTACTAGTTGTGTGACCCTGGGCAAGTCACTTAACCTGTTTGCCTTAGTTTCCTCATTGATAAAATGGGGATAATAATAGCAGCCATCTCCTAGGGCTGCTGTGAGAATCAAATAAGATAACTGTAAAGTACTTAGCACAGTGCCTGGCACATAGTAAACACTATGTAAATGCTACCTGTTATTTTTTTTTAATAGTTAGATCTGCCAAAGAGCTCAGTATATGACTTAAAACTACAAAATCAAAGATATCAGGAATCATCTAGTCCAGTTCTCTAATTTTACAGAAGAAACTGAAGTTCGAAGAGGATTAGAATTTTCTCAATGCCATGCTTGGTGGCAATGTTTGGACAGGAGTCTCAATTGTCCTTCCTAGACTGGTGTTCCTTCTAGTTCTCCACACTCGAGTTTGGAAATGAGTTGTTGGTTCTACACAGAACTAGCTTTTGTGAGTGTTTTCTTATTTCCCTTCTGATTAGCAAATCAAATGTCAATTGTGCCTAAAATGTTACCGTCAACTAATCCTGGGTTAAAGAGGTAAAGAATTTTGTGTGTGTGAAGGGTGGGTGGATGGAATCGGCTATGAAGGGGGATGAAAGGCAATCTCACTTTTCTCCAATACCTTATTATGACATGGAAGTAATACCAGGGGGTAATACTGAAGACTATGCCAGTAGAACACAAGTTCTGGCCGCTCCTATCAAGTTAGGAAGGCTTAGCATATGATCCCAGCAATAGGTAGGACAGACAGTATGTCTCAGACTAGTCTAGCTAAGATCAGAGAAGTTCACCACATTTGATTGCAAGGTGACTAATTTTTTGGCCATGGCAACTTACAAGTAAATCTACTAAAGGGTTACTATTAGGGAGGGAATATCCATGCTGATGAAATCATATTTTGGCATATAAGCTTAGCATTATATAAGAATGCAGCTCCAATTAGAGTTAGGGTGGCACTGAATAATCAAATCACAGAGATTATTATTTAGTGGTGGTCAGAACCAGAAACTGGGACTCCAGAACTCTGGGTCTAGTGCTTGTTCTATTACTCCATTTGTCTTGTTCATTGCTTTACTGGACACAGGAGACTAGCGCATTTTTATGGTTATGGTTTGTGGTTCTTATACAATGGGACACAGGATTTGGAGCTGGAAAGGCCTTTAGAAGTCAATTAGTTCAACCCTCCTATTTAGTCAAGGAAATAAACATTCAGAGGTAAGGTTCTTTGGACACAGATCAGATTAGTTCATTTTCTAGTTGGCCATGCTTTTAGACTCTCAGCCAGAGGAATGGAGGATTGAGAGCTATATCCAGCTTGACCTGATATTCAAATGACACAAAAGATATTCTCTCCCTTAGAATGAGTTTCATGAATTTCATCTGCTTTTATCCTTTTATAAGAAAATATCTCTTATAACCTAATCAAGCTCTACAAGCCACATTTTGATTGCAGGGTCATATGTGCAAAATCTGAACTGGGGGAAAAAGACACACAATCACAAGAAATTAAATGTAAGCTTTATTTATTCTAGGGCAAACTCAAAAGGGTTTTTTTGTCTTTTGTTTTTTAGCAAATCCTATCACGTTAATGTTAACAAAAACATCTGTACATTTGCCATGATACACTTAAAAGTGAAACAAATATTAAGATATAAATACACATATGGATGTAACATGACAAAAACAAAAAAAATGTGTGTGTGTGTGTGTGTGTGTGTGTGTGTGTGTGTGTGTGTGTGTGTGTGTATGTATGTCTTTGTGCCTGTGTGTATGTTTGTGTGGGGAACCATGCGTGCGAACACACTGGAAACAAAACCATTCTGCTGGCTGACATTTTTCATAGCTTTTCCTTTTTATTTCCAAACATTATTGTTAGCAAAGTCCAGCTGTAATTCTACAACGTTCTTTTTGCTGTCCTTTAATATGTAATATTATGCTTGATAAATAAAGGGTATTGGGGAAAGGAAAAGAAGTTTTATATGACAAAGATGCAAGTTGCATTACTTATACAGGTTATCGAGAAGCTAATAATAAGCAATAGAAAAGACAGTCTTGTATTGTTGTCATTTATCGTCCAGCCAAGCACACATGGTGTACTTTGAGAAAGCCACATGCCTCAATACTTCTGTACTACATGAGAACTACAGTACTTAAAACCTGGGGTGGGGGGAGTATGGATCAAGTGATTTGCCCATGCCCTAGCTTAGTGGTGATGTCAATAGCACAATGGATAGCAACCCCGAGGTCCAGAGGGTGATGGGCTTTTTCAGGGCACTGAAAATTCAGAGTTGGTAAGCTGGGGAGGCAAAGTTTCTGTTGAATTCCTTTCCTTTCTTTTTTTTGTTCTTTCTTTCTTTCTTTCTTTCTTTTTTTTTTTTTTTGTAATTAGCAAGAGCCCCAAAGGACAGGAGAGGCAAGGAAAGGCAGGTACAGTTGCTGAGATTTGGCTGGGGCAGCCAGGCTCTGCTCTCACCTTCAGAATGATGTGATAGACTGCATGCAGATTTGCTCTCCTTGATGTATATCAGAGTTTCCAGATCTGTAAGCCAAGAGACTTTGATGTATGCTGACAAGTGATTGTATATTCTCTCTCTTTTGGTAAGTTAAGAGACTGAAGGTTATGCAAGTGGTGTTCATGGCTAGCCCTTTGAGTACTACAAGGAAACTGGGCAACATTCAAGATACTTCCCAACTAAATGACATAGGGGATGTAGGACTCTTTAGGGGAATAAGGGAAGGGAGGGAGAGGGAAACTTACTATATACATTATATTTAAATGAACTGATAAATAATCTAACCAGAATGTTTCTTCTATGGTGCAACACATTTCTACAGCAGAGAATAAAGAATTTTTGACTGACTTGTGTAGTGAAAGAAAAACCACATCAATGAATATCTGTCAACAAACAAAATATTATCTGATCAAGAAAGTAAGGCCTGGTCCTATATTTTGCAGCCCCAAATATGCCAACTACATTCAATCACACTTGTCTGCCACTGAAATTTTTTTAGACATAAGATAAAATTTAACTCATTTAAGACAGCCATCATCACTTATTTTCACTAAACATGCTTTAGAGTGGACAGATATTGCCAAAGGATAAGAATTAACATTTTAAAGTTTAAATATGATTGCAAAAATCTTTCTGAGAAAATTATGGTTTTCCTCTTGTGCTCTTTCCTAAAATAAATTCGTATTCCAACCAAATGACAAGTGTTGATGTATCAGGAGGAATATTTCCCACCACTGAATTCTAACAGGAGCAGCTATGTATTTCCTACATATTTAAATTACACCTTAAAAGTCCATCCTGTAGTGTAAGAACACTTGCTACATTAGTTTATGGACATTACAGTGCATTCATTCTCAGTGCATACTATATGTTTTTATAAAATATCTAAAATAATTTTAGAAATAAGGAAAAAAGTTATGTATTTTCCTCCTACCTTTCATTCTATGGCTCTGAATTCTACGCCTGTCAGGTAAGCTGTGGAGAGGACTAACAGGGAGAGCTATGAAGTTTTATATCCTGTAAGATTAATTTATTCACCATTTACTTGGAGTCAAATTTTAGGATTCCCTCTTCTCACTACTGCCTACTGTAACAGACACGAAATTTTCTTTGTCAGTGAACTGAGATTTTATTTCAACAAACTGGCAACGAATAATTTTGGTTTATAGAATGAGAAATGACTCTTGAGTCATGATCTATTGGGTCTACCCCTATAGTCTCTGATCATACCTAAAAAAAAATCAAATTCTGGAACTCCATATCTGTCATTACTCAATGAATTGAGAAAATTTTTACCTTGAAACTTCAGGGTTAAACTAAAACCAAGAATAAACTATCAAATATCAATGGGCCACTAGAGGACAATAATTGTAATTCTTGGAATACAGCCCTAAACTTAAGGTCTCTAGATTTATCCCATGGGTGGTATTTAAATTATGTTTCCAAAAAGATCCCTAGAGCAAGATCTCTCCTACAGTCCTGGTAAGTGGAATCTCACTAAATGATCAGATTCAACTGAACTTTAAATTAGCTGTCAAGAAGTTTTAAACCCTGGAACAGATATCACGTTATTAAAGGAAGTGAGCCTCAATCAAAAGTCAATACTAAAGGGTCATCAGTTTTCAGAATCTATACTAAAAAGCTAGGGCACTTTACATACAACTCAAACACTGAAAATGAAAACCTTTGGGGGCATTTAGTAGGAACATGGTAAAAGGCTATTTTTCATTTTAAATGTTTTCTAAGACATAATTCACATTTCGGTAGGTTTCAAACAACAACTTAAATACACATACCACTTTCATTGTTTCCTCTGTGAAAGGCGAAGAATCCAGCAAGGGTCACACCCATAATGAAACAAAATATTATGAGGAAACTGACACGATCCTAAAACCCCAAATCTGTATCAACTTAACTTAAAACAAATTAATCACTTTAGTTAAAACCAACAAACTGCTAGAGGGGCTCATTTTTATAACACTGTGACCTAAACCCCCTTTTAAAGATTTCAGCAGGCTGCACAAACATGTTATGGCTGTTTTTTTTTCTTTTTTCTTTTCTTTTTTTTGTATGAAGACTGCAACCCAGGCCTTGCTTCCTTTACATTCAATACCAAAAAGATTCTACACAAAAGCTTGAAAGGACCAAAATACTGATTGCAATAAATATCTGTGTGGCCTCCTTGTACTGATTGGGCGTGCCAATGAAGAAAATGGGAGAAGAAAGATCTCAGAGAGGCACCACTGACTGCTTCTAAGTCTACACAAACAGGTCCAGATATTTCCATTAACTGTGCGTCGAAACATCTGAAGATGAACTGCTGTTGCTGTTGGTGGTTTGGGCCCTCTTTATATACAAATTTAATAGCTTCATCTGAAAAGAAAAGATAAGAATGAGTTATCAGAAGAATAAATCAGTTCTAAAAATAGGTTCTTTTACTAGTGTAAACATGCTCAAAGAAAAAACTATAAAATTCATGCTATTTAAATTTTGATGAAAAACAACATATTTTTATTAAAGTAAGCATAGTAATTTAAAAACTACCTGTGGACAAAAATATTTTAAAACACCCTGACAAACTAGAAAATTCTATGTTGTGCTGAAAAAGGCAAATAGGGATAGATGATGTAGACAAACATATCTGATCCAAACTGTAGAAGCCAGAGAGCTTTGTAATCTTTAGTTCAAGGAGACACACTGCAGCTAGGAAACAAAGCAACAGCTTCACAAGTCCAAGTTTTCCGTTTATTCATTTTCCTCTCTTCACCCAGGGTGACAACAACTATACGTGGCTTTCTCTCTCCAACAGGGGTGGAATTATCCTATCAAGCTTTTTAACATAAAAGTAAAAAAATTCTAAATCATAACTAAAATTCAAAAAGAATGAAACTGAAGCTGTGATTGCTTGTTGGCAGTATATGACATCTATTTTTTTTCTTTTCTTACTATCCGTTCAAGACTGTTTAGCTCATTACACTTAAGCTGAGTGGAAAGCCTTTCTTCTTTCCTCAACTGACCAGCCTATACTTTTAAAAATTAATGACTAACTGATTAGGTTACATGTGGACAATTAAAGACAATGACAGCTAGACTTTGGATAAATTCACAGAAATCTTCATGCCAAAATTTCAGAGGAGCAAGACAGTAACAATGTTAGCATTTTATCCCATCCCAGAAAAAGGCGTCTACCCTTGTTGCCTCTACTTCCTCTTCTCTGGACTCTTTGCAATCTGGCTTCTGATCTTGTCATTCATCTGAAACTGCCCTCTCCAAAGTCACTGAAGTCCTCACCCTTGATCTCTCTGTAGCATAGGACACTTCTGGACACATCCCCCTTTCTGGGCATCTCTGACACTTTTTCTTGGTTTTCCTATTTGGCGGCTTCTTCTCAATCCCCTTCGAAGGTTCATCATCCATATCATGCCTACTAGCTGTAGGAGTAACCCAAATATTCTGCCCAAAGCCCTCACCTTTTTTTCTATCTCTCTATTCTTTTGGTGACTTCATCAGCTCCCACAGGTTTAATCATCACTATGAAGATGCACTACGCATCTGTATATCTAGCCCTTTGTGTCTCCAGTTTCAGACCAGCTTCATCAGGTACAATTAGACAATTCAAATTGGACATCTGTAGGTATCTAAAACAGAACTCATTATCTCCCATGCCCAACCCACCCCTCTTGAATGTTCCTATTCCTGTAAAGCACATAATTATTAATCACCCAGGTTTTCAATATCAGTGTTATCCTTGATTCCTAACTCTTCCTAACTTTCAAATAACGAATCAGTTGCCAAATCTTGCATTTTTTTACATCTCCACAACATCTTTTACACTCAAAGATGTCGCCTCTTCATTCACACAGGCTATCACCACCCTAGCTCAGGTCCCCGTCACCGCTTGCTGTCGCAATAGCCTCCTAACTGACACCTGATTTCAAGTCTCTCACTGCTACACTTGATCCTTCACACAGCTGCCAAAGCTATTTTCCTAAATTAGCACAAATATGACTTTGTCATTGACCCACTCAATAAATTCCAGTGGCTCCTTATTATTTCTAGGATCAAATATAGATTCCTGTTTGGCATTTAATGCTCTTTACAACCTTAGACATCACTACCTTTTAGACACACACATTCCTGGCAAAATGGCTTTCTTATAGTTCCTTACACGTGGAACTCTATTTTTCCTTCTCCACACCCTGACACTGGCTGTCCCCCCCATGCCTGGAATGTACTCCCCATCCTCACCTTTACCTTTTAAAATCCCTCATTTCTTTGTGCATACATTTCAGGCATGATCTTCTAACTGAACCCTTTTCCTCCTACCCTCCTGCTAGTGCCTTCTCCCTAATTTAAATAAGGATATGGAAAACTAAGTTTCCTCTCCATTTTCTGAGTGACAATGACTGACAAACAAGTGGAATGCCTGAAATGCTGACTGGCAAAAAGAATCCAAGCAATTTTAACAGCTATTTTCATTTAAAAGTTTTTCTTACTTTCTAAGAAAGGGCTCCATTCTGGGTGTGAGGGTAGGGAAACGACTGATGTAAAAACACAAGTCATTAATACAATTTGTTGGGGCTTTTTTTTTTAATTAAAAAACTGGCAAACCACAATAGAATCCAGGCTTCATGGAAAGCACAGTGGTTTAGGAGTAATAATGATAAAACATTATTTGGTGCTTTACAGTTTGCAAAAGACTTTAGATATATTATTTCATTTGATTTTGAAAGACTTGGGCTCTTGTTGTTACAAAATTGCTTAGTTGTATGACTGTAGGCACGTCATTAAACTCCTTTGGGCCTAAATTTCTGTTTCTCATTCTAAAGGGGATAATTAACTCTTACTCCATCTACTACTTCATATGGTCAGAGTAAGGGTCAAAGGAGATAATGGATATTAAAGTTCCATTGTACGGAAAAGTATGGAAAAGTACAAAGAACTATATAAATTATATAAACTAATTATTAGTATTGCAAAAGTTGTCTCCCAGTTCCTTCTTGTTTTGAGGAACAACAAATGAATCCTAGAAAGAGGTGGGAAAGCTGAGGCTGCACATTATCAGTGGGCACTGGAATGTGGGAAATGACATATCACTGAGGGTGTGTATAACTAGAAAAGGAGGTGGGTGGGTCATTTAGTAGGCAGCAAGGTGGCACAGTGGATAGAAAGCTGAACTTGGAATCAGAAAGACATGAGTTCAAATTCTGCCCCAGATACTTAATTAGCTGTGTAACCCTGGGCAAGTCACCTAATCTCTGTCTGCCTCGGTTTCCTCATCTGTAAAATGAGGATAATAACATCAACCTCAGGGTTGTGAAGATCAAATGAGATATAAAGTGCTCTGCAAACCTTAAAGTGCTACATAAATGTGATTTATTAATAGTAGAAGTAGGAAGAGTGAAGGATAACATTACACTTCAAGTTGTATATAGGTATCCCTGGATTTTAAATGAAGTAGTAGAATGGAGGCCTGGTGGACCTTCTATGGAGAATTTAGAGAATGACATGAAAAGAATTATGCAGGATAACAAAGTATGGAGGGGCTGTGATCTCTCCCAGTACAGGGAGTTCTGACATCAATAAAATCATGGATCTGCTAAATCATCTATGCATATTCAGCGTCCCAGGAAACAAAGAACACTTTCTTCCCCATAAAAGTTGAGCAAAGTTGCTGCATCAAATAATTCTGTCAAAACCTTAAGGATACTGCTATCGTGTGCAGGTTGGTTTGGCTTCTGGAAAAGCTACGAAAAGTTTATATGTTTAAAAAAAGAATTCTGGGATCAGACTAAATTAAATCTACCCAAGCTGTACTGGTATATAAGGTCCTAAGGGGTCACCATATTGCCTTGGGTGCTTGGGTGCAGCTGGAGGGAGCAAAATGAGCCCTGGCCATAGAATCAGACACCCTGCATTGGCAGCCTCATTGTGCTGTTCTGAGCAAGTCTCTTCTCTCTGTACCTCAGTTTCCTTATTGGTAAAAGGGGGACAATATCATGTACCTCCTTCTCTCCTTACCAGGCTGGTTGTGACCTTTATAAACAAAGTACTTGCTATGTAAATGTGATGCAAAGGACCAAAAAAAGCAGGGTTTGACAAGTTTTCTTCGGACCTAGGAACTACAACCTCATGTACAGTAGCCAGAGAAATTTAGAAGAAATAAAAGCCAGTATGTTCCCATCATTAAGTTCTGATGCAAAAACGGTAAAACGAACATTTTACAGAGAGGCAGTGTGGCCTAGTGGAAAAAGCACTAGACCTAGAGAGAACTGGGTTCAAATCCCCAACTCTGGCACTTGTTAATTATGTGACCACAAGTCGACTACAAGGTGACCACCAATCCCCATAGAGCCTGAGTTTACTTATTTGTAAAATGGGGTAATACTCATCTACCTACTTCCCAGGACAGCTGTGAGAAAGCTACTTTATAAACTTCTAAGTACAATTAGATTACATGAGAGTTACCATAATCACAGCACAGGAAGGTACAGAGCACTGCTTCTGGTTCTGTCATATTTAGCAATCAAAAACAAAATTAAAAACAGTATTGAAAGATAAAACAAAAACTGAATCACACGATTATTTTACATTACCATCTTGGGATACATATAAGGATGTTTACTTTGTTGTTTTTATCTTTACGAATGTTTTTTTGGAAAATATGGCTAAGCAAAAACTTACAAGGTGATAAAGCCTGCTAACAGGTTGGTGTCAAAGCTGGTTTGTGGAATCACGGAGAGAGATATCTAAAAATATTAAGACTACATAATACTATACATACCTTGCTCCCTGTGAGCTGTGCAAGGTGAGGCTTCAGTTCTTCTCCAATTACGGAATAAATTGCCACTAAGCAAAACACACTGGCCTTACGAACACTACTTTCAGTGTTGTCATAGCCCTACGGGACCAGAAACAAAGGGAGAATAAAATTAAAGATGACTTCAGGCTAGTCTTTCAACATCTTCATGAATGGGCATGTCGATCATCCTATTTTGTATTCTCAGCTAGCAGGGAACCTAAGAGTGCTTCTGAGCAGTTATCAGAATAAGAGAAAGAGAGGAAGAAGAGTCACATGGACATGCACCTAGATCCAGGAAGTTTTCACCTAAAGACACTTGAGACTCAATTGGACTGAGCTCCACATGATGCCTGGGTGGCCAAAGAAGCACAGTAAATAACAATGAAAATAAAGTGGAAGCTGAACACCAGAATGAGATAAAGGAGATAAAAGGATAAGAAAAATGAAAAAACAAAAACAATAACAAAAAACTCAATGAATTATGGTTTTTTATTTTTCTTTTCCCCCAAATAGAGCAAGTTTTACTCATTAAAATGCTGATTTTTTTTGAAGGCATAAAACAAGCTGCACCCTCACCATTATGGTATGTTTTCCTGCTCTGATTGTATCATCAGAAGCTTTCAGCGGCTTCCCTTCCACAAGGACTAAAGCTTGAGGTCCATGAATTCAAAGCCCTCCCACAATCTAGTCCTAACTTACCTTTTAAACTTCATTTACCACTATTCTCACTGGGGTAACATGCCCTGGCCCACCTGTAGTATTTTACTTAATTTCCTCTAAATATGCCCCACGTTTTCTGGGCCTTGCTACTGCCACTCTTGGAAGGTTCTTCTGTCTGCACCTTTCCCCGCCCTACTCCACATCCCACTTGCTGAAATTACATTGACATTTCAAAGGCCAGCTCAGCCTTTAGACTTCAGCTCCTCATTTACAGACTGAAGCGCTGAATTAGGTCTCTTCCAATTTTAAAAGTTCTATGATCAAGTCCATCGAACTTTTGCTGATCACTCCTGCTGGCAACATTCTCTTGTTCCTCTGATCCCTTGCAGCACTTCATTGAGACCACTCTTGTAACACTTATGAGATACTGACCATTATCATTAGAGTTATCTGTATAAATATTTTATTTTCCTTACTCTGTTGTAAATTCTTTGAAAGCAAGATAACACTCAGGAGAGGGTCAAATTCAAGTAAATACAGGGAAAATCATAAAATCTCAATGGCACCATGGGTACTACTGACTGTACACTGGTTTTGAAATGCCAACAGCATAGGCAGTACACATTGCCAACCACCACCTAATTCCTCTTCCCTCTGAATAAAGATGTACTTGCAAGAAAGATGAAAGAGTTCTAAGGTTACTTTTGGCTGAATGGTCTTATCTGGCCTATGAGTCACTAGTTTAGTTCAAACACCAACCATACCAGCAGCCATCACATACAGCAAAGTACATACCCCATAAGCGTTGCCCAGCTGGAGCCCTACCTGTAGCAAGCCTGGGATGATGTCAGGGAGAAGCTGGTGCAAGGACTCCTTGGAAATCCTCTCGATAACTTTGGTCTGCATCTTAATGGCAGCTAGATTGATGGGGTAGTCAGCAGTCTGGATGATTGGGCAAAGCACTTTGATACACTGCTCAGGGTGTATAGAACTGGCCAATGTTGAAGCAGCTTCCTCTGCAGCTCTCACAACCTGGAGGAAAAAAAAAAAGTCCCCAAATTGGAACGGTTAACATTTTATAAGAGGTGCCAAACACAAATGTTTGTTCCTGTAAGCCAAATGCCAGTGAACCAACCTAATGACAGATGCCACCAATTTATCTAGTTGTTAATGAATACAGAAAACACACTGTACTATTTTAACCAGTGAAACTTTAAATTACTTCCTCTTGCTCTTGAGGCCTTGCTTAATGGTGGCTTTAAGTGTTCTGGGGTATGTGTGTGTGAATACATTTTTGCATTAGTGTGAGCTCTGTCTGACTCTCTGTGACCCCATTTGGGGTTTTCTTGGCAAAGATGCTGGAGTGGTTTGCCATTTCCTTCTCCAGCTCATTTTACAGATAAGGAAACTGAAGCAAACAGGGTCAAGTGATTCGTCCAAGGTCACACAGCTAGCAAGTGTCTGAGGCCAGATCTGAACTCAGGAAGATAAGTCTTTCTGACTCCTAGCTGACCCCTACAGTCTGTGTAGGTACAGCAAGTTCAGAATGGATGAATGAAAAAGCATTTATTAAGTGCTTACTGTGTACCTTAAGCTCTGGGATACAGACACAAAAAGCAGACATGATCCTTTCTCTCAAGAAGCGGTACATTTATTTCTCACATTCTAATGGAGGAGATGACACATATGCAAAGTTTCAGCTATAAGGGAAATGGAAAAGACATGGTGCAGCATCAAAGGAGATGGTAATGCAGGGAACTGGCATTCCTAAGGCTCTTGGGCTTGCCCCATCAGTGGCAGTTTGTTAGTAGCTGGTTTTGGTAGTGGCAAGGAAGGTGGGCTACTTCTCTTCTCAGTGACAGCTGTGGGGGGCTAGGGTGGAAGCAGGGATGGTGATCTAGGGGCCAATACTATTCCCAGGGCTCTTGGGTTCAGGGTCCTGCGATGTTTCCCATTGGGTCTAAGGTGATAGATGAAGTGGTAGTCTGACTTCCCTGAGGGCCTTGCTGTTTTACTAAGGTGAAGCGAGCAGTTTTTTGTTTGATTTTTGGATTTTTATTAGTATCTTCTGTTTCTATATCAACTACATTTCTCAATACATCCCTCACTTCCCCCCTCATAACAAAAAGTTTTAAAAAGTAGTTCAATAAAGCCAAATCCAGCATTATATGTAGTATCTCTGCAAAGAAGGGAGCAAATTACACTCTCCTATCCCTGGCCAAGCTTGGTCACTATCATTTCACAGCACTTATTTTCTCCTGTTTTGTTGTTGTCTTGGTGATTTGGAACAATCTTTTATATAATGGCTAACAGTTTTTAATTCTTCTTTTGGGAACTGTTGGTTCACACCCTTTGATTATTTTATCAACGAAAGAATGACTCTTGTGTATATTAGTTTTCTATATCAGTGATACTTGATGAAATATTTTTTCCACATTAATTTTATTCATTCTTATGCTAATTATGTTAATTTGATTCACTAAAAAGCTTTTCAGTTTTGTGTAACTCAAATTATTTTATTTTTGGTGATCACTTTTACTTCTTGTTTAAGAATTCTCCTCCTAGTAACTCTGAAAGGGACTTGATCTGATTCTCTTCTAATTATTTTTTTTAAATGCCATGACTTTTAATATTCAGGTCTTGGATCCATTTTTAGCATACTACAACAAATGGTGTAAGATGATGAGTCTAAATTTTATTCTGCCAAATAAGCATATGAAGTCTAAACAGCACCTAAACGAACAGGAACCTGGGCTTTTGAAGATGAGATGATCTGAGATGAGTAGTTAATTAAACTTTTGGTTAACTGATGATGGTATAGAGACACCATTATTTGAAAACTGGTAAATAGGATGGGGTGGAGAGAAAAACCTAGTACTGAGATGCAGTGAATAAAAATTAGAAATATTTCCTACTATATCTTAAAGAATATAGACTGAAGAATCAGAAGACAGGTTCTAGTACAAGGCATGTATTAGGTGTGAAACTTTGGGAAAATAATTTAATTTCCCTAGGCTTCATTTTCCTTAACTGTAAAATGGAGATCACAACTGTGCCACTTCTAAGGGAAGCAATATGACATAGAAAAAGATTGCCGGACTTGAGTCAGAGAATCCGGGCTCTAACACTTTCTGCTATGAGGACTCCACATAAGTCACTTAACCTCTCTTGGCCTCAATTTTTCTCAATATAAACAGTGTGCATGTGCGAGAGGGAAATGGACTTGATGACCTCCAAAGTTCTTCACAGCTCTAAATTTATGATCCAATAAATACCTTTTTCTTGTGAAGATAAAATTCCTGTGGAATTACTGTTAACTATAAATTGCTATAAAATAATTATTAAAAAACTAATAACTGCTATAAAATTAATATTATAAATAAAGATAAGTTGATATTAACATTATAAATAATGGAATGTGTCTTCTCTAAAGTCTTATGGTAACACCATAGGCATACATTTTTCCTCTTCACAATTTAAATTAAAAATGGCACTAACAGTCAATGACTGACTAGTGCTCTAAATGAATAAACATACTTTAAAAAACATGTGCACTTTATGGCTTATGAAATAATATTAGACTAAATGGCACCATCAGTACTATAACAACGATATGATAGTTCAGCTATGAAGACTTCACCCCCTCCAGACCTTGCTATAAATGCAGCAAAAAGTCATTTCACTTGACAGATGAAGGCAAAGCACAAATCAGCAAGGAAAGTTTCTTTTATTCCTGACATGGAAGCAGTTTAAAAAGCCCCATGGAGGCTAGAAAGTAGCCAACTTAGATCACTATGGTGTTTTTCATCTTTGTATACCCAGAGACTAGCCCAGTGCCTTACACATAGCACATACTTGATAGAAGTTTGCTGACTTGGATTAAATCAATAAACTAAGTTGAAAAGAAGTATTTCAGTTGCTGCTCAGCTGATTTGCAGTCATGTGCAATTATTTGTGACCTCATCTGGGGTTTTCTTGGCAAAGATATTGGAGTGGTTTGCCATTTCCTTCTCCAGCTCATTTTATAAATGAGGACACTGAGGCAAACAGGGTTAAATGACTTTCCCAGGGTCACACAGCTAGGAAGTTTCTGAGGCCAGACTTGAACTCAGGAAGATGAGTCTTCCTGACTCTAGGCCTGGCCCTCTATCCATTGTGCCACCTAGGAAGTAGAGCAGAGCAGAAAAAAAAAAACTGGAGTAGGAGTCAGGAGACTGGCTTGACCACAGCTGTGTAACCTTGGGCAAGTCTCTACTTTTCTGGTCTCAGATTCCTCACTTATAAAACTAATAAATTGGATTAAATGAGTTCTAAGGTGATTTCTAGCTTCTACATTTTATGATTCCATAAAGGCCTTTGTGATATCACCTCAGCTTTAGTCATAAAAATGAAAGAGTGATTTAAAAAATAAAAATCAACCAATAAGTAAGGCAATATATTCATATTGAAAAAAAAAATTAAAGGTATTTCTGCCTAAACAAGAAAGTTGGCTTTATCTAACATGTTTCTTTACTACTAAATTCCATAAAAGCTTTGGCTAGGTATACCCATGATGCTTACATACATAAAACAAAACAAAACCACTTTCAAGGCTATTATAATCAAATAGGGGCAATTTAGAGTCCACTCCTTTTCCTAACCACTTATTTCTGTCACAGGCATGATAATTCTAGTCACCATTGTCATCATCCTCAGTTCCTCATTCTCCTTGACCCCACTGCTGATTCTGCCTCCACAACATCTTTTGCATCCATGACATACTTCATGGCCACCACCTTAGTCCAGGCTCTCATCACCTCTCAGCTTGACTACTTCAGTAGTTTAATTGTTCTCTCTGCCTCCTTTCCTTTCCAATCCATTCTCCCTACATCTGTCAAAGTAACATTCCTAAAGTGAGTCTGACTGTGTCACTCTGCAGCTCAATAAGCTTGCATAGCTACCTGTTTCCTAGAGGATCAAATACAAACTTCTCTACTTGCAATTTAAAAGTCTCTCAAACTTGGTATAATCTATATTTCTAGGCTTATTAATCATCACTTCCCTTTATGTACTTGACGGTCTAGTCAAAATAGCTTTCTTCCTGTTCTTCACATATGCATGTGCTGTGAACATTATGGGAAGTCAATAAAAATTTATTGACTGAATTTATTGACTTTCTTCTGCCTTCCAAAGACTTCAGATAATGTTTCACATTTAAAGAAGTTTTAAATTCCTTTCGATTAGGAATAGTACTCTAAAACAAAGATGTCAAACACAACCCACAACACTCTGATTGAACCAGATTAAAATGCAACTGGGAAGTATTTGACAAAAGAAATAAAAATAACAGAATATAGATAATATTAACATGTGGTATTCTAAGTCAACATGCAGTCCACAACGATCCTTATGCAAGGTTAAGTGGCTGCCATTTCTATCTCAGTCTGACACCACTGTCCTACAACACACTTCCTGATTACTGTACCCTTTACATTTTACCAATGCCTGCTGCCTGGAGCACTTGTGGATAAGTAAGTACCTCTATAAATGATTATTAATATCACTACATAGCCACGTAAATAACAGAAACATTACATACGTGTCCATGAACATATACTATAATCATGTGGTAATCCCTTGAAAATGCAACATAAAGACACTACTCAGAAATACCAATGCAGATAGCTACCTTTAGGAAACTTATAAGTAACCCCCTTAAGGGTTTGCTTTAGCAATTAATATGACTGATCCTTCAATATTTACTGAGTGCATTGTGTGCAAAACAATTGAAGATGAGGCTGTCTAGGTTTTGTGATGACAGGGTGTTACTGATACTGCCCAACAACAAAGATTCTTGCATACTTGGGTGGTAGGAGTGGTATAAGGGAAGATTAATTTAAAAAATACTTATTTGAAAAATGTGGAATATAAAGATGACAAAAGCTACACTATTGCCTCAAGGAGCTTAAGTTCCACTTGAGGATTCATAAGCCTATGCTATGGTTTCCTCGATTCCCTTCCTACTACTTAGTTTTTATGTTTTCTCTGCATCC